AGATTAAGATGTGTTTCAATTGCTGTTTTTTTCCTCTTTGTTTTACTAGTTCTGAATGCCAATATGGCAATTGGAAGGTAAAGTTCAGAAGATACTGTTTGACACCTAAGAGAATACTTCATAATTTCTGTCTCACAGCAAAGTGACAAACTTCTTTTAGATTTGTTTTATAGAGCTGAGGCTGTAGCTCAGTGCAAAAGCACTTGCTTAGCATGTATTATGCCCTGGGTTCATTCCTCAGTATTGGGGGGGGGGGGCGGGGGGAGATTTGTTTTGTGCAAAACAGTAAAAAAGTATTTTGAGAAAAGTATATTTCAGGCAAGGGCATAGAATGAGCAAAATGCAGAGGTAGGACATAAAAGGAACAAAACTTGATTATCTGGGTTGAGTTCAAAAACTAGATGGGCAAGTGGAATTCAAAGGCAGTATGCCCGAACGGCCCCAGGAGAGGCCTGGGGCAGGGTCGTTTCCAGGAGCCACAGCAATTGTAATCATGTGTTTGGCATGACCAGTCCTTTTAACAAATAATCTGCCAGTTGTGAATTTAACAGTGGTGTAATTCGGTGTCTCCCAAGTGGAATTACTTAGGTTTTTGAATACTTCAAAAATCATCTTGTAGGGCTGGGGATATAGCTCATTTGGTAGGCCCTGGGTTCAACCCCAGCACCAGGGGGGAAAAAAAATCATCTTGTCTTGTGTAGGAGCTCACCTATGCTTAAATTGAAATAGACTACACCAAGTCGCATCTTGATGAAGTGAATATTGTAGAAAATCAATGTCATTTGAAGACTCTGTTCTACAACCAAACAAGGAAAGCAATGAATTGGAGAGATTAAATGAAATTTTTAGAGAAAAAAATAATTATAGACATATATGCGCATGCACACACATATAAAAACTAAGGCATGTAAGGTAGACTTCCACTCTGTGAGTGGCGGACATGCGTCTCACTGTGGCTGATGGGTATGCGCATGGTGGGTTCATGTGCCAAAGTATCTGACCTCTGTTTGTCATATTCAGATTATTTGTTACCAGCTCCTACAAGCAAATTCTTGCGTAAAAATAGTATTTATTTACTGAAATAAATATTGACATCATTTTTAAAAATATATTTAAATAAATATAATTTTTAAATATATTTAAGATATTTAACCTTTTCTTAAATATATTTAAAATAAATTTTAAGAAGAAACTTTAGAACCTTTGTGTGCCTCCATGGAACATTCAGGCATTAAGGAAAATTTGACAAAAGCATAACCAGTGGAGCTGGATTTGCATTTCAGATTCCCTACTTAAGAGCCATGGGACCTCTGTCAAACTTTTCCTTCTAAAGTAAGGTATAATAGTATGGAATTTTATAGAAAATTAGTATCAATAATGTTTTAAAGATATATGGTATACTTTCTAGCATATACAGAGACGTTATATACACTTATTTTGCTAAAATTATAATGATTATAGTTTTATACACAGGGAGAAGAGAGAAGACATTCTTTATTTCTGTTGTTTTAAATATGTCTCCTTAACACAAAATACAAAAAATTAATTTCTGTTAGTAGTGGTAGGGGAACCTATATGTTAGAATTATTGAAAGATATGTTTGTATGTAGTCATATTTACAAAATCATCTAAGTTGTACTTTTGGGTGAGAAGAGATTTTCAAGGTATATTTGATTACATGTGTGATTTTTATTTTCAGGTTGACCTTAGAACCTAAACTCGGTCTTAAAGGCAATAACTACTCTTGAACAAATATGTACCTGATAGTGGTATCTTACAATTTTTCTTTTATTTAATGCATTTGCTGATATACACCTGGCTACATGCATTAAATGTTTCTTAATATTCTTTGTGGGATGCAGAATTCCTATTTTTTTAAATAATATCTTCATTTTATTAATTTATTTTGATGTGCACTGAGGATAGAATCCAGTACCTTACACATGTTAGGCAAGCAGCTATACCACTGAGCTATAAGCACAGCCCCCTCTTTTTTTTTTTTTGAGGTGCTGGGATTGAACCCAGGGCCTTGTGCATACAAGGCAAGCACTCTACCAACTGAGCTAAGTCCTCAGCCCTGTATTTTAAAACAGAGGAAATGTAATACTTCATTTGTTGCTGGGTTCTAACAATTCAAAAACAATCTGGTATAGGGAATTTCGGGGTTTATTTAAAAATAAAGTTCAAGCTGGAGTACCTCTTAGCTGAAATTCTTGGGACCAGAAGTGTTTTGAATTTCAGATTTTTTTCACATTTTAAATACTTGCATATTCATAATTAGGTATTTTGGGAAGGGACCCAAGTCTTTACCCGAAATTCACTGATATTTCATATACATCTTATACACATAGCCTGAAGGTAATTTTATACAATATTTTTAGTGCATGTGTGCTTTACCTATACTTGTCCTATGGGGTTGTGTGGAATTTCCACTTCTGGCTTTATGTCAGTGCTCAAAAGTCTTAGATTTTAGATAATTTTAGATCTCAGATTCTTAGATAATGGATGTTTAACTGTACTAATAAAACCAATAGGGGCTGGGGGTATAGCTCAGTTGGTAGAGTGCTTGTCTTGCAAGTCCAAGGCCCTGGGTTCAATCCCCAGCACCAAAAAAAAAAAAAAAAAAAAACCAATAACATTCTTAACTGTTTTCTATGTTTATTCAATTCAGACTTTGTTTTGTGTATCCCTTCTACACACATGTGAGATACACACACACACATACATACACACAGAGTTATATGATATGGTGGGTATCTAGTGGGTATTTTTCTAATCTACTTACATAATTTGCTTAGCTTCCTCATACTGACTGATCATTTGAAATATCATCTTTGGTATCTGAAGGCAGGGCTTTATGGTTTTCTTATGAAGTCTATGTGAGTCTTTTTAATTATCATTTGATGTTTTGAATCAAAGAGAAAATTAGGAATACCTCAACAGAAGGTAGGATCCTCCATTTTATTCTTATTTAATTAACAAGGAGTGAAATTAAAATTAATTTTTAGAAAATGATCTTCCTTAGAGATACTTTGATAGCAAGTCATTTAAGTGGACTGGTAAGAAGGTATCCTACCTTGTTGATGATCTTTGTGATAAAAAGGAGGTTTTTTTTTTTTTTTTTTTCCCCTGCTTAGACCTAACCTTATTTTATTCTTTTTCTACTGTTTGTTTTTTGAGACAGGGTGTTTTCTATGTTGCCTAGGCTGGCCTCAAGTTCCTGAACTCAAGTGATCCTCCTGCATCAGTCTCCTGAGTAGCTGGGACTGTAGGTTGTGCCATTGTGCCCAGCTCACCGTCTGGTTTTATACTGTGTAACACAAGGAGGAAATACAACAACTAACTCCTTTCATTAAACCTTTAATTTTGTTTTTAAACCAAACCCCCTACAATTTCTGATAGTTTTTTCCAAAAAAGTTTTGAGTTTGCTAATTTTGTTTTCACTCAAAAGAAAGGGAAGTCAGGTCAAGAGTGTAGGGCAGAGTGGTTTAAGTGTTTTAAATTAAAACACTGATTCATTAAAATTTTCTCTGTTGATTACACAGCAACAGAAGAAAGCAAAGAGGATTAAGGATGTTAAGTAAATTCAATTGCAGAAGCTTATTAAGGTTTCTTTCAGAAAGATCAGGAAATAAGTATTTTAAACTTCTACTGACCTTATTAATATATACTGCCAGAAATATTTTATTTGATCCATTCTCATAAATTAGTCATCTTGCAAAACAGCTGTGGCAATATGATTTTTTTTTTTTCAGCAGTGATTTAGCAATCAGAGGTTGGGAGTTCTTGTGTTGACTCATTCACAAGGAGATTAAATGACATGAGACGAGGAAGCCATGCATGAGAGGATAGAATCACATATTCTGTCTTTAAAAGATTCTCCTATGAGTCTGTGCAGGAATTTAGGAACCACACCAAGAACCTACCAGAAAATTTGGGTGGCCAGACACAGTGGTACACCCTTGTAATTCCAGGGGCTCAGGAGGCTAAGGCAGAAGGATTGCAAATTCAAAGCCGGGCTCAGCAACTTATTGAGGTCCTGAGTAACTTAGCAAGACCCTGTCTCAAAATAAAAAAATTTTTAAAAGGCTGAAAATGTGACTCAGTGGTTAAGTGTCCCTGGGTCCAATCCCCAACACCAAAAAGAAAAAAGAAGGAGAAAAAAAATTCTGGTGAGAGTAGAAGATTAATAGCACACAGAATTTAGAGGGTCAACAGGATATTGAAGCAGGATTCTGTTGTATATAATGTATCGCACTTTAGTTGGCTTAGGCAAAAAGATATTAAATGGCTTGCAGAGTTGTTGGGAGGGCTAAAGAAACAAGACTCCTAGCTAAGCTTCCAGGATGAGTTTCCAAAGTCCCTTATGTCTCCACCATGTTGGGGAGCCTTAAAATTGAGAGGCTGCCTGCCTAGTTGGAAAGCTACAACCACCATTGCCAATACTAGAAGCAACTTGTCTCTGTTACAGTCTGTATCACCATAGTGAATGCCCCATGCCCTGCCTCTCTCCCTGAGTTCAGGTCTCACTCCAGATCTTGCTCAAGTGTTTCTGATTGGTGGAACCTGAAATCTTAGCTGCAGGAGAGTCCCAAAATTTCATCTTTCCAACCTCTGAGTATGCTACCTGGGGTTTGGTACAAATGTCCACAAGCTAATCAGCATCTGCCATTGATAGGAAGCTAAATGTTTAAATAAACATTTAGCTTCATTTTTTCATCATTTGCAGAGTAGACTCATTTATTTAGAGGTACCATCAAGTCACTCTACATATAAACATTATTTCTGACCATTTCCTAGAGAACACCTCTTTCTGAAAATTTGAGAGTAGTATGTTATTTCCTAAAGATGCAAAGCTGATCCAGGAAACAGCATTTTAAATTTATAATTCTCCTTCCAGCTTTGTGCATTTTCTCTGTATTGGTTCTATTTCCATCCGTGTCTTTTCCCCATGGGGACATCCTCCACCTTTTCAATTTAATATGCTCTTTACTATGCAGAGCTGTGAATGAAGAATCTGAGCCCTCAGAGGTCGATGCTGCTGGCCGGTGGCATGGCGTCTACGTCACCAGAACAGCTCCAGCACCTGCAGAATCTGCAACGACTGTTAAGTCACTGATCAAGTCATTTGACTTGGGACGCTCAGGTATTTAATAGTTTTTTTCCAAAAGCAAAGCTCCACATTCAAATCATGTCTTGACACATCATCTCTGCTCCATAATGACCCCCAGGGCTCTTTCTAGGTCATGCCTTGGGCAGCCACTGTATGAAGAATGCAGGAGCCCGGCAGAGGCTCAGTGAGGCCAAAACGGAGAGTCTAGCTCATAGATAAAACAAACACAGCCTCCCTTTTCTCTACACCTCTTCCCAACCTCTTAATTTCTGCTTAGCCGCCTTCTTCCTTTTCTGCTTCTTGTAGCCGTTACATTCAGATCACTACTGTTTTCCTTCTTCACATCTCCTGAGAATGAGCAGCGTCAGCCAGAGGCTTTATCTTCCAGGAAACAAGGCATCCTATCTGTGCATTCATCCTTTTTGTTGGGACCCTGGCCATTCTTACCTGGCAGTGTGCTGTTAAGACTTCTTTCTACCTCATCTTGCATGTTCTGGTGCTGATTTTTATTTATTTATTTATTTATTTTTGGGTCATTCCTGATCTTGGTGCATTTGCACCTTTAATGTAATGGGCTGACAGATTCACAATTTCTCTTTAGTTAAACTTACCCTTAGGATATTGCCAGTTACCAGTGATGGGTTCTGCTCCCTCAAATATTGAAGTTTGAACATTAGAGAAGCACGCCGAGGCAAGCATCTAAAGCAGGGTTTATTTACAAAGGGGTAACGGACTTTTCCTGGGAGGGAGAGGGGGCTGTACCTGGTATCCCAAAAAGCCAGGCGTTCTGCTTCCTTTGTTCTCCTGCCCTCTTCACCTGGAGGTATAGTTCCTGTTCCTGTGTTTGAATAAGACTATTGATATTTATTGTGAGTCAGACAGCACAGATAGGAAATGAATCAACAGTTAATGATTTGTGTATGGGCTTTCCTGTTCCTTTCCTCCTAGAGGAACCTTATTACATAGACATTTTCTTTTTCCTCATTTATCCTATATCCAAGACCAACTCCCACTTGGTTAGCTTTTCCCCTCACATTTCCCCAATTCACTCTAGAGAAAAGGATAGTGCACTGAACATCATGGAATATTGAAGTCACCAAAAAAGTAACAACAAATTGAGAACTATTATTTGTGATTTTTGATCTGGAACAAACATGTATATTTCAATCTCTTTCCTTGTTAGGTGGAACTGGACAGAATATTTCTGTCCATAAGACTCCCAGAAGTCCCCTAAGTGGAATACCAGTAAGGACCACTCCAGCAGCTGCTGTCTCTCCCATGCAGGTATTAGAAGGTCCCAAACAACCACTGTTTATGGCATGTTGTGTATTCTAGATGTTCTTATTTACATATATCTCTGTGGGATGGCGGGGAGAAGACAGTGTGTTCGCTTTACAAATGGGATTACATATTATTCTGACACTCATTTCACTTTAATGTGGAGCATAGATTCTGTGAGGACAGGAATTTTTTTTTTTTTTTTTCTCTTACTGGGGATTGAACCCAGAGGGTGCTTAATCACTGAGCCACATCCCCAGCTCCCCTACCCCCTTTTTTTTTGGTAGTTGTATAGATGAATAGCTTGCCTTTATTATGTTTGGTTTTTATTTTTAGGTGGTGCTAAGGTTCAAACCCAGTGCCTCACTCAAGCTAGGCAAGTGTTCTGCCACTGAGCTACAGCCCAGCCCCTCTCCAACTTTTTTTTTATACCTTATTTAGAGACAGAGTCTCCCTGAATTGCTTAGGGCCTCACTAAGTTGCTGAGACTGGTTTTGAACTCGTGATAAGGACAGGGATTTTGAGACTTTGCTTGCTATTAGGTCTCTTGTTTAGAACAATGACTGGCATAATAGTCATATCACAGTAAAAACCCAATAAATATTTGTTCAACAAATGAAGGAATATGTTTTTATATGTCAATATGTGGAGAAATAATTCATCCTTTTTAAAGGCTACATTACATGCAGTGGTTTATTTAGCTACTCTTCTATTGATGATGAAAGCACATGAAAGAGAATACAAAAAAAAAAAGGAGAAGACCCCCATGGACTGGCAATGCTTCATTCAGCACTGGAGGAGCACATTTTTGGGGGGGAAAATGGCAGTAGGCCACCTCGAGAGTCTGGGGGCCTAAGCAGAGCCAGATCATTGGAGGAGCTAGTTACTTTTGGAGGGCCCTCTTGGCAGGCAGGGCCAAGTAATGGGAGGAGTTTAGGGTGGGGTGGGAGGACATGTAGGTAACCATATCCTTCAGGTGGATGTTTAGATTGTTTTGGATTTACCTTATTATAAAAGCAGTACAGTGAAGGTCCTTGTACAAATTTTTGACCTCCTAAGGAACTATTTTTATGTAAGAGTGTATTAGGATTCATTCATTTGCAAATATCAGAAATCACTTTCGCTAGTTAAGCTAGAGTGATTCAGGGGTTTTGATGCTGAAAGGACTGGAGGAGAAGGTTCTAGTCTCTCTGAGCTTCTAGGAAAGGTTCTCAAAACATCTCAAGTTGGCCCATCAAAGAATCTTCTGCAGCTGGGTGTAGTGGTGCATGCCTGTAATTCTGATGACTAGGGAGAAGCAGGAGGATCACAAAGCCAGCCTCAGCAACTTAGCAAGGTCATATCTCAAAATAAAAATTAAAAAGGGATGTGGTTCCGTGCTTAAGTACCCCTGGGTTTAGTGTCGAGTAACAAGACAAAAATAACTTAAAAAAAAAAAAAAAAGAATCTTTTATTTCTGCCAGAATCAGGAATTCTTTCACTAAGTGCTGGCCTAGGACCCCCATTTTTGCCAGGATCTAGGGCCGGCTTCAGGACCATACTGCTGCAGGTGCAGTTCATGCCAGCAGAACACAAGCTCTACCCTCTCCTTCATAATACCATGAAGTTATGGGATCACACACCAGAACCTCCATCCCTGCCAGAGACAGGCAGTATGCCTCCAAGCCATGGTTGCCAGCAAAAGCCGCAGAAGGGCACATTTACCCTCCCTTGCCCCTTTCAGGTCTTCTGAGAATGGGCCTGTTTGACAAAAGCTAGGTAGATCACTGGGTGAACCAAACTTTGAGGGAGTTTGAAAAATATACCCTTTAGCTTTTCAGTCTCATGTAATTCAGTGAGTCACCCTACAAAGGGACTAGAATGAAGTTCAGTGAGCCAATTCTGAGACCCAAATTTGTTCTGAGTAATAGAAAATGAATTACTAGAAAAGGAAATGGATTTGCTCCTTCTTGGCACATGAAAATTTTGATATATTACCTTGAAATTTGCGCTCCACTCACTTATTTAAAGTGCTATTTTCCCAGAATTTTGACACCCTTTATACATTTTGAGGATTTGAGTAAATGAACTGTGTTATCTTATTTTACTTTGTTTATTGGTAAGGTTGAGCACTTCATATATTTATAGGTCATTTTATATCTTTTAAAATATTTTTTAGTTGAGATGGACACATATTTTTGTTTATTAATTTATTTTTATTTTTTTTTAGTCATACATGACAGCAGAATGTATTTTGACATATAATACATACATGGAATGTACATACATCAATCATATTGTCTATTCTATTCTGCTGCCCTTCCTATCCTCCCTACTCCTCCCCTCCTCTCCCATCCTTTCTCTCTATCCAATCTAATGTGTATTAATTTGTTTTTTATGTGGTGCTGAGGATCAAACCCAGTGCCTCACACTTGCGAGGCAAGTGCTGTACCACTGAGCCCCAGCCCCAGCTCCATTTTGTATCTTTTGAATGTGTGTGATCACATATGCTTTATCTGTTTTTCTTTTGAGTTATTGATCTTTTACCTATTTATAAGTCATCTTGATGTATTGTGGGTTTTTTAATATTTTTTTAATTATATAATATTTTATTTTATTTTTTATGTGGTGCTTAGGATCAAACTCAGTGCCTCATGCATGCTAGGCAAGTGCTCTACCACCTAGCCACACCCCCCAGCCCTGTTACTGTTGAGTTTGTTATGTCACAAGCTCACCTGTACTGTTGTGCCCTTTTGTTTTGATAGAGGCATTCGACTTACAGCAGCTTGAGGCCAGCCAACAAAGGTGTGACTCAGCGCTTAGATCTTCCAGACCTTCCCCTCTCAGGTAAATTACCTTAAACATGAAGTTCTTTTGACCTACTTTTTTGTGGGGCTGACTTTTCTGCTTGCCTTTTCATGAAACTTAATGTAGGAAATTAATCGGTATCAGTTTTTTTCAACTGATTTCCAGCACTGCATGTAGACATTTGTGGATGTTATATCCAGTTGTGCAGCCCTGAGACAAAAGGGTGTCTCAACATGCGTGGACCCAAAGAGAAATGCCAAACTTGGTTGTTGTTTTCTATTACACATATATGTATATGTACATACATATGTTTATATACGTCTGCAAAGATATGTACACTGATTCTCAAAAGAATATCTTCTATTTAAAAAAATTATTTTTTTAGTTGTAGATGGACGCAATATCTTCATTTATTTATTTTTTTGGTGCTGAGATTCGAACCTAGTACCTTATGCATGCACGGCAAGTGATATACCACTGAGCTACAACCCCAGTCTCTCTTCTACTCTTTAACATAAGTAAATAAACAAATAAAATTTTAAAATCTATCTTATTTTGAATTTGCCTATGGTTTCCACGATTCTTAAAATATGCCTCTTAAAATATTACTGTCTAGCTGGGGATATAGCTCGGTTGGTAGAGTGCTTGCCTCACATGCACAAGGCCCTGGTTCAAACCCCAGCAACACCAAAAAAAAAAAAAGATATCCCCGTGTATAATCCACTTCTTACTGTTAAAATCATGACCTACGGCAGTTATAGCCTTATGAAATGTATTGTTCAAATAATAAGATTTGAAATTACTCCTTGATCCATGGCTGCAGAGTGGATGCTCTGTTAGCAGGCATGAAAACAACATTAATTGCATTGTACATTTCCATCAGAGCTTTTGGGTGGCCAGGTGCACTGTGAATAAGCAGTAATATTTTGAAAAGAATCTTTCCCCCTGAGCAATAGCTCTCAATAATGGGCTTAACATACTTAGTAAGCTATATTGTAAACAGATATGCTGTCATCAAACTTTTGTTCTTCGGCGTATAGAGCATAAGCACAGTTGACTTAGTATCATTTTTAGAGTCACAGAATTTTCAAAATGGTAAATGAGTATTAGCCTCACCTTAAAGTTTGAGCCCCAGGGGAGGGAGAAAGCCAAAACAGAAGATTGAAAACCTGCCTGATTTTCAAAACTGCATAACTTATTACATAACATAAAATAGGGAATAACTTAATTATATGCATAGTGTTTGGTTTGCTTTTTCGAAAATTGTAGTAAAAGATGCATAACATAAAATTCACCATCTTAACCATTTTTAAATATACTTGGTAGGTGAGCTTTGAACAATAGTATATGTATCCTCTTCTCTACGTCCCACCAGCTTCAAAGTTTCCTATTGGTCTAGAGAAACCATCCTTTTGATTGACAAGATAAATATTGAAGTTGAGACCACAACTATTGCTGGGAGTAAATAGCTCATTGGCAACCCTCCCCACCTCATCTACCACCAGGCACCTGTCTATGGGAATATTATTTACTATAATAAAGAAAGGATTACACAGTGAAAACTGTTTTCTTTTAGTCATTTCCAGAAATTGCTTGTCAACATTGAGGTCATCAGAAGCTACAGAAACAGGGATTAATGTGCTGTTTTTGTTGTTCTCTTTAGTGATGTAAACACTGTTTTTCTCGGGTATTTAGAGCTAATTAGCCTCACTCCCAACTTCACTACCCATAATTGATGGCTATTAGCTGTAGAAGTATTGTTTTCTTCTATAACTATATGTAGGTCCACAGGAAGCAACCACAGGGCTCAGCCTGCTCACTGGCCTGTCCTGTAGCTTTGAACTTGATTCTCTGAGCTCATTTCCTCTATCAATATAAATCATTCTCAAAATTTTTCTCCTGTTCTCTACTTTTATGGTGCTTTAAGGATTATCTGGTGGATTCAGCCCACTTGAGGACCTGTTTCGACCCAGACTAATATGACAGTATTTGGAATGTTTAAAAGGATGATTTTTGCTAAATTTTTGGTGAACCAGACCTTGTGATTAGAATAACTTTTTTCTTATAAAATTATAAGTTATCATTCTTAGTCCTCAAGATTTTTCTCTGCTGTTGACTGTGAGCTGATAATCATGAGGCATTTTTCTGCCAGCTCATTCTTTCTGGTGCCTACCAAATAAAATAAAATACATTCTTTGGGGACAGGGACAGGGTCACGGCATCCAAACTGAGTAGTTGCACAGCCTGTTAGAAGGGCCCATACTTTGCTTAAATGCTCTGATAAAGTCATTTTTAAATTAATAATCATCTTTTACCAAGAGGGTAATTTGGCATCTAGATCCTGTAGTTTATGTAGTTGGTACTGCCTAAAGCATCATTAGCAAATACCATGTCCCTGTTTGTATTTTTGTTACTTCAGGAGAAAAAATTGCATGGGTATGTGTATATATATGTGTGTGAGTGTTTGTATATTTGTACTTGAGAATAAAATAAGAATTGTACTTAAGAATAAGTATGATGCCGGGCACAGTGGCTCATACCTGTAATCCCAGCAGCTCGGGAGGCTGAGGATTACAAGTTCAAAGCCAGCCTCAGCAATGTCGAGGTGCTGAGCAACTCAGTGAGACCCTGTCTCTAAATAAATACAAAATAGGGATGGGGATGTGGCTCAGTGGAGAAAAGTATGATGACCTGTCAGATTTCTCCTCTTCAAATATAGGTGATAATGTTGTTGTTCACACAGATCTTCTGAAGGGAAGAGCTGAGGACCTGAAGCCAGACCCTTACCTCAGAAAGAGTCCCTCATTGGAATCACTGAGCAGACCCCCTTCCCTGGGCTTCGGGAGTACCAGACTGCTGAGCGCCTCCACCGGGGGGTTGAAACCACCAAGCAAACTCAGGTACCATATTTTAAACAATGAGAAATCAGAAAACACTGGACTATCTTCCTTCTGTTTTATCCCCCATGGACAATTTACTTATGTATATACCTCTTGAGTGAAAGTTATTAAGCTACAGTTCCTGAGTCAGGTTCAGTGGCACATGTTTTAATGTCAGCTACCTAGGAGGCTGAGGATCAAACACTCGAGGCAAATCTTGGCCACTTGGAGAGACCCTTTCTCAAAAAGTTTTTAAAAAGGGCTGGAATTGGAGCTTGGTGGGGTAGAGCCCCCGCCCTGGCTTCAATCCTCAATACCACACACAAACAACAAAAAAAGACAGTACCTGCCTTCAATGAGTCAAAAATTAGAGGGACAGTAGATACTATATTGTGCTATGTGAAATGAAGGGCTGCCAAAAAAAAAAAAAAAAAAGATAAGCACAGTGCTGGGGGTAGGGGTTGTTAATTGGATCAGGAAGTCTAGAGAGATGTGAAAATTCTGCCAGGATGTGCAATGTGCTATCATGAGCAAGATGTGGAACTAGAACCTGGGCTTCTCAGGGCAGGGACCCTGACATGTGTACAGCAGCTTTCTGTCAAGGGTTCAGTGGTAGATGGATGACTAGGATGTTAACCTCTGAAAAGGCAAGTCGCAGGCCTGTTGCAAACAGTCCTCATTGGCAAGGAAAAGGTTCCTACATATTTTGATACAGCCGTGGAGAAGCACTAAGTCTGTGGGATTTTGTTTTTGTTTTTGAATAGTGGTTAAGATCAGACCTGCTCTTTAAGGCAGATTAATCAGAACACAGTGGCATATAATAAGCATTAGAAAGGCATTTTTGAGATCAGTGTTTAAAGGAACATTAGCAAGAATGTTAAAGCTCTAGTGAGAGAGGGAGATAATGTTGAGCCTGGCAAGATGGTTATCAGTAGTCTGTTCTCTCTCCCATACCTCTGCCACCTCCTCCCCTTTGGTGCTTCTGATCACCTAGACTCCAGTAAACCTCCTTCAGCTGCTTCCTGTATCCCTTATGACTTCCCTGCTTCTCCATGCTATTTTTCGGAAGCACTGAGTACATCCCGCTGCAGACCTCTCAGAAACTCCCATTACTTTGTCATCCACACTCCTTGTTTTTTAGCTAAGCCACAAGTTAGTGCCACCCCCACTCACCAGCTAGAATGGCCCAGTTTTTCCCCTCCTTCCAAGCCTACCTAACTTCCTGCCTTTGCAATATAACACGAACATTTCTGATTCTAGATCTTTATTTATTTGCTAGATTGAAATGCTTTCCTTTTGTCCTTTTATACTCCTAAATACTGCTGCTTCTTCAAATTCAAACTTTCCATGAAGTTGTACTAACCACCCTGGTAGCATTGACGGGAGTTCCCCTTCTCTGACTTTGGTGTCTTACATTCATTTGAGTACGCTGCTTTGTAGTGTGAATAACTTGCATAGTCTTTGCCCTTGTCCACAGGATGGTTATAATTTAGGGAACAGTAGATATTTTGTCTTTGGTATCTTTCCCAGGCCCTTGCATTCTGTGATATACACAGCATTTCACTCAGTATATACTTATGAATTGGTAGATAGATGAGTATATAAAACTGTCTAGTATAGCAACTTATAATAAATATTATAATCATCAACATGGAAAGGGATTTATGAAAGTCCGAATAAGTGCCAATTTTGAATCTTTGGGAATAGACTATATTTGGACCCAAGTAGATGAAATCATTTGTTTTAAGGGTTTAATTTCAATCCCTAAATATTATATATTGTCCTGTTTATTTGCAGAGATTTAAGAAAATCAAGATAGGTTTTAAGGACCAGAATTAGTGCACTTCTCAAACTAGTATCATAAATGCATTCAAAATGCTATGTGTACATTAGTATACTGTTTACATTATACCTTTCTCATGAAAGGTTAAATTAGTAAAATTAATTTTTTATTTAAATTTTATATTCATGTTATTGAGATTAACCCATGACAGTGACAATAGCAAGTACTTACTTTAGAAGTTCTCAAAAAAAAAAAAAAGAAAAAAAAAACCTACATATAAAAAAATAAAAAATAAAACACACACACACACACAAAAAAAAAGAAGTTCTCAACCTGAATTATTAAATTTGGGGAAGGGATCATATTTAGATAACTTATGTTTTAAAGAAAGAATGTTTGTTGAATGCTTTAGTCTTATATTTATACAGAAACTTTTACAAGCTTTCATCATTTCTGTCCTTTCTTTCTTTTTTAGTTGTAGTTGGACACAATACCTTTATTTTATTTATTTATTTTTATGTGGTGCTGAGGATCTAATCCAGGGCCTCGCATGTGCTAGGTGAGCGCTCTACCGCTGAGCCACAACCCCAGCCCCTCATTTCTGTCCTTTCTAATGTGCAAAGTGCAGAAGCTCAGTTTTTGTTTTTGTTTTCTTGTTATGGTAGTAGTGATTGAATCCAGAGACACTCTACTGCTGAGCTATTTGCCCAGCCCTTTCTGTTTTTTTATTTTGAGACAGGATCTCACTTAAGTTGCTGAGATCGGCCTTGAACTTGGAATCCTCCTGTCTGAAGTTCTTTTGTTTGTTTGTTTTGTTTTTTGGTTTTTTTTTTTTTTTTGTGATGCTAGGAATTGAACCCAGGACTTTGTGTATGCAAGGCAAGCACTCTATCAACTAAGCTATATCTTCAGCCCCTGTCTGAGGTTCTTGAGTAGCTGGAATTACAGGTGTATGCTACCATGCCTGGCACAGAAGCTCAGTTTTGAGGGGTAACATAATGCTAGACATGGTCACTAGAGCTTTGTAGTTAATAGTAACACTGACCAAAGAAACTTACAGGCGTGACTTCATAGATATATCAGGTACAGAAAAGCATTCATCAAAATGTACACACAAAAAAAATTGAATTAACATTTGAACTGTTTTTCCCAAAATATCTCTGCCTTGGTTCATATTGCTAAAGTCTAGGATCATCCTATTCCATTTTTAAAGATCATTTTAAAAGATTTTTATTAAATATTGAATGGATACTGTAGGAAAGTTTCAACCTTCCCCTGAAGGTTTAATAATTTTAGTCTATCAAATAAACTGGCAATAGATTAACAGGAAAAAAAAAAACATACAAAATTTATTAATGTACAGAAGTATAGGAGCCATCCACAAAGTGTGAGTTCCCTCAACAAAGGTCAGCTAAATGAAAGATAAATAACTTCTTTTTTTGGGGGGGGGGAGGGTGTATCAGGGATTGAATTCGGGCATTAGGCCACTAAGCAACACCCCAGTCCTATTTTGTATTTTATTTATAGGTCTGTGTTAAGCAGGGAGAAGAATCAAGTCTAAGAGGGTCTTAGGCTAACTAAAAATGTAATGATGTTTCTCAGTTTAGTTACTACTAAGTGAGTTTAGTTACCACTAAGCCAACGCCCTGGCCCTATTTTGTATTTTATGATGGAATATTTAATATTTGAAATTTAATATTTGAAATTTGGGTTAGCATGAAAATTAATGTCAAAGTTATTAGAAAATCAAGGATGGGGCATCTAAGCCTTTGGTCACGGGATGCTAAGGTATTATAGCAAAGTCACCTTGACATTGGCTACATCAGGTACGCAGAATTGAGTATCACTTCAGTGTGTGCAAAACCCCAGTTTTGGAGTCATTTCATTTTATCTTACTTATTTCTCCTCCCTCTCTACTCCTATTACCTCCCATAAGCTGCAGATCTGGTGTTTTTAGTATGCCCTTCTTTTTTTACACATTACCTTTTACACATTGCTTAGATATAGGTGTGGTCTTCAGATCTGTTTTTTATGTTATGTATAAGGGTCTTTAATTCAAATTATATTGTGCTTCATTAAATAAATAAGAAGAGCCGGGCACAGTGGCGCACACCTGTAACCCCAGCGGCCCAGAAAGCTGAGGAAGGAGGATCACAAGTTCAAAGCCAGCCTCAGCAAAAGCAAGGCCTTAAGCAACTCAGTGAGACCCTGTCTCTAAATAAAATATAAAATTGGGCTGGGGATGTGGCTCAGTGGTGGAGTGCCCCTGAGTTCAATCCCCAGTACCCAATAAATATGTTTTAAATATTTAAATAAATAGGTTTATAGATACATAGATGGATGGATTTTTAAAACAGAATTAAACTCTCCCCAGATTTAGGATTGTCAAGAAGCATGATTTAGGCTTTTTTTAATTTAATGAGACATAAGATATATTATTAAATGTGACTAATTTAGTTATCTCTTTGGAGTCCCTCTGGATAAACCTAGGCTTTTGTTTTTTTCTAATCTAGTTACTTGTTTCTTGTATATTTGAGGGTTTTAAAAGCCAATATCTTCTCCTTACTATGTGTTCTTCTTTCTAACAAGTGTGGAACGAAGAGACCCTCTAGCAGCCCTGGCTCGTGAATATGGCGGCTCCAAGCGCAACGCACTACTGAAATGGTGCCAGAAGAAGACAGAAGGCTATGCGGTAAGGAACAGTAACATACATGGGTGGTAGTGGTCCTGTTCCAGGATATGTTCCATGTATGCATATACTTAGTGGTCCAGTTGTCATATGATTGTCACCATTCTCTCTTCCCAGGCAGGACTGCCAGGGAGAGTGATATTTGTGCATTGCACAAAGGCCTAACAGAGGCAGTGGGAAGCCCATCTTCAGACTTCCCTGCAGACCGTATTCCTGAATGCAGAGAGCTGCATTTCCTGTGGGGAGGGAACCCTTCTCTTTGCTTGCAGGGGGCATAAGCTCCCCTCCCCAGTACACCTGACAGGCTTATTCTCCTCAGACACAGTTTTTGGTAAAGCATCCTCCTAATTCACACAAAGACCCCAAGATGTTGTCCTCCAGAATTTTTCTAAAATTTTTTTCTGTGGTTTTAAGAATGCTCGCATTTATTTTAGTAAGAATCTTGGTTTACTAAGACAGTGTTTATTGTCTCTGAAGTTCATATAGGGCAAGAATACCTGACGTAGTTTTTTTTTTAATTATGAAATATCACACACAAAGAAAAAAGTGCATTGATATAAAGTTTACAAATGAAGCAAAAGCCATGTCATCAGTGTTCCTGTCCAGAAACTCAGCATTGACAGTTGCCACCTTTCATATGACTTTCCAACCATGATCCCTCACAATACCCTAAAATACCTGTGGACCTCAATTTCGCTTATAGTTTTCTATAAATGTATGTATCCCAAATACTAAGTTAGATTTGCCTGCATATCATATAAATGGAACAAAAATATTGTAATATTTGATGTCTGTTTTTTTCCCACACAGTTTTGTTAGTACAATTTGTCCATATTGTTGCAAATAGCTATAATTTGTTTACTTTCTTCATCATTTAGTAACCTGTGGTATGATTATTATTTATTCATTCTATTGTTGTTAGACAACTAAGTCATTTCTAGTTATTATAAATAGTACAGGTATGCTTTTGTACGTGAACTCTTAGAATATGTATGTTCTTATCCCACTTGGGAATGGAATTACTGGGCCATACAGTATGCTTATATCCAAGTAAAGTAGATAGTGCCAAGCAGACTTCTGAAGTAGTTTACACCCAACCAGCTTTACAAAGATATGTTTCTCAACATTCTCACCAATTCTTAGTATTGTTTTTAGTCTTTTTGTTTTTTTTTAACTCAACCATGCAGCCACATCCCCAGCCCTATTTTGTATATTATCTAGAGACAGGGTCTCACTGAGTTGCTTAGCACCTCGCTTTTGCTGAGGCTGCTTTTGAACTTGTGATCCTCCTGAGCTGCTGGGATTACAAGGGTATGCCACCATGCTGGCTTGTCCTTAATCTCTTTACTCTCGGTCTTTGGGTAAACGTATTTTTTTTTGTGGTTTTGATTTGTATTTTCCTTTGGGCTAATAGGATTGAGAATTTTTTGATGTGCTGATCGACCATTTGGATAGTCTCTTTGAGGATGTACTTATTCGGGTCCTTTGCCCACTTTTATTATTTTGGTGCTAGAAATTAAACTCAGAGCCTTATGCATACTAATAACTCTCTCTTCTTCTGAACTGTATACTCAGCCCTTGGCTATTTTAAAAATCATTTTCTTTCTTTTCCTTACTGCTTTAAGGAATTCTTTATATATTCAAGATATAATTTTTTTATATCATATGGAAGTTTGGCAAGTTCATCTTGAATGTGGCTTGAATTTTCACTGTTTCAGTGATGTTAGAAATAATGAGGTGCCACAAGAAATCAAACATGTGCTTGAAAGTGGGTGGGCAAGGCTAACCCTTACTTCTAACAGAAGGCCATGCTATGGGAACCTGGCTAGCAAGCACACCTAGGCAGTCACTGATTCATATCTCTAACCCCGTGCAGCACCACCCTTCACTCTGATTAGAGGAGTTCAGGGTTACAATCTCTATGATCAACTAATTTTAGAATTATGAGGAGCAAAAGGGAAGGGCTATAGTTGGATCCAATTAAAGCTAAACACTATATTCTGAAAATGGACCATCAGGCTTTCTAATTCTCACAAATCCCCTCTTTTTCTTTTTATACCTTTTGGTTTCATTTCATTATACTCTTTGATATTCATCTATCCAAGATATAAACTTTTCAAGGTAGAAATCACCCTGAGTCTTCCCATTTTTAGTAGTTAAAGATAGCCATCCTGGTGATCACGAGACTTGGTAAGGGACTTTCCAGCTTGGTTGAAGACTGTCTTCTCTTCAGGTCTTGATTAAAATCAAGTCATCAGAAGGGAAGTGATAAATGGCAAATTCTAGAAGGGGAGTTTGAGTGGCAGTTTATAATAGTCATACCAGTAAAAAAAAAAAAAAAAAAAAAGGAAGAAACACAGATCAAGTCTGCCTATGTAGGTTAGGAAGACTTGTACGTCTTGAACTGACTCAGAACCAACTCATGTATCAAGTTTTCCTGTGCAAAAACCCTTTCTTTATAACTTCCAGTTTTATTTACTTTTGAGAGGACTGATAAATATACATCTCCAGTTACATCAAAAGAACTATTGGCTTTTCTTTTAAATGCCCATGTACGACTATGGTTTTGGTTAAACTGTCCTGGCAGGTATATAAAATCAAATTGGTCAAAATTGACCTTGTTTCTTTCTATCTATTACTAAGAATCAGCTGAGATTCCTCAGGGGTTACTTGGGAACTTGTGAGAAGCCTCTTATCTTCTTTAGTGCCACCTACTAGGATGGATCAGGGTCTTGCTGACCACATGTGGCTTCCCTTGGAAGCATCAGGGACATCACCCTAATGACCTTCCTTTTTACAGAATGTGCACTGGTTGGCTTCCTCTTCTCCAGGGTCCCTTTGATCCTCCTGATCAGGAAGTAATATGGCCCAGAGTTGCAAAGCCTTTAGAGAAATCTTGTAGTTCCCTGGGTCCTTACTGACCTCAGAGGGCAAGAACCAAATATTGGCTATTTTCTCTTAACCCTTAAATTTTCTTAACTTGGTTTTGGTTTTAAACATCCATCAAGCCAATTTTGCCAATCTTAAAGTGGGTGTACTGGGTTTTAATTTTGTTTATCCCTTCCATTTAATTGAGGTCAGTATTAGTACTGGAAGTCAGCCTAATATTTTGTCTGTCCTATAGGTGATGGCTTATTTGAAAATTAACTCAGGTTGTCCTGTTAGAAGGAATACTTCTTCAAAACATTAACAGGCAAAAGCTATTAAGTTCTACAAGGAAAATGCAAAATGAAATTAACAAGACCAAAAACATATTCAGTTTGTACAATAGCTTTAAACCAAGAAACATAATTTCTATAATAACATTAATATAACTTTGGTATCTACTTTGCCTTCACAAAGACACATAAATTTATCAACTCAATCATGAGGAATTTTACTTTCTTTTAAAGGTCTTCTAGTGAATGTTACATGTCTTTTATAATTTACCCAAACCTTTACTTAGTTTTGTATCCCTTGGTTATTTTGAGATCACAGTAATCTTGACAACAAAAATCTGTCCTTTGAACATAATAAGCTTAAGTCTAGCCTGCTTTGGAGCCATCCTTACATGGAGTTGGGTGCAAAGCAGATTTATCTCAAGTAAGGTGGGGCTCTTCACAAATAACACAATACAAGATCACATCTGAGCCTCACCTTCCAGAAGGACAGTCTTGGGAGAACAATCATATCGATTATAATACATGGCAGAATTAATTAAATGCCACATAGAAAGAACCCAGAGAAGAAAGGAAAGCAGGTTTGTGAGATAAAGAAGTGAAGCTAGCCAATCCCTAAAAAAACAAATGCCAAATGTCTTCTTTGATATAATGAGAGCAACTAAGAACAGAGCAGGAAGGAAGAGCAGGAGGAAAAGATTAACATTAAACAGAGACATGAGGTGGGAGGGAAAGGGAGAGAAAAGGGAAATTGCATGGAAATGGAAGGAGATCCTCATTGTTATACAAAATTACATATAAGAGGTTGTGAGGGGAATGGGAAAAAAACAAGGAGAGAAATGAATTACAGTAGATGGGGTAGAGAGAGAAGATGGGAGGGGAGGGGAGGGGGGATAGTAGAGGATAGGAAAGGTAGCAGAACACAACAGTTACTAATAGGGCATTATGTAAAAATGTGGATGTGTAACCGACGTGATTCTGCAATCTGTATTTGGGGTAAAAATGGGAGTTCATAACCCACTTGAATCTAATGTATGAAATATGATATATCAAGAGCTTTATAATGTTTTGAACAACCAATAAAAAAAAAAAAACAACTGAAAAAAAAAAGAAAGGCCCTAGAGAGGTGGCATGGAGGAAGCGTTGGAGGAGGGTAGATTAAAACATGTGACATCAAGAGAAGGGGGCTTCCAGGGGTGCAGAGCAGAGAATCTGAATGACTCAGACACAAAAGGGCCTGTGCAGTTGGGACTATTAGGAATGGAATCTGCCAGCCATGGTGGACACTGAAGTCAAAGGTTCATGTGGCCATTCATCCTTCATGGGGTAGATTTACTCTCACTTTCACTACTGTTTATTTTTTTGCTCAGAACTCTTTTTTTTTTTTTATTTTGATTGAACTCAGGGGCACTCTACCACTCAGCCACATCCTCAGCCCTATTTTGTACTTTATTTAGAGACAGGGTCTCACTGAGTTGCTCAGTGCCTCATTTTTGTCGAGGCTGACTTTGAACTCGTGATCTTCCTGCTTCAGCCTCCCAAGCTGCTGGGATTACAGGCGTGTGCCACTGCACTCAGCTATAACTAAAAAAATTTAAAAAAAAAAAATGGGGCTGGGGATGTGGCTCAAGCGGTAGCATGCTCGCTGGGTTCGATTCTCAGCACCAGATAAAAATAAAATAAAATAAAGATGTTGTGTCCACCGAAAACTAAAAAATAAATATTAAAAAATTCTCTCTCTCTCTTTAAAAAAAAAATTGTTGTTTATCTTAAGTTTATAAAGATATTATCCTCTCTTCTTCTAGAAGCTTTATCATTGTACTTTTCACACTAAATAGATGACCT